AGCCGAGGCGAGGTCCCGCGGTCAAGATGACGTTATTATTATCCCGGTGCCGCGAGGACAGTCGGTCTACGCCAGAAATAGTTGGGTCGAGACCGTCGTCAGAACGCGGTCCTCTGATTTACGCTGGAACCGGCCGATAATTCTGGCCTCCGTGCCGCGCGACGCGGGAAAAGGGACGCGGCGGGGCGACGCGAGGGAAGGGAGGGGGGACACGCCGAGAGACGCGAGACTCGCGGAGCAGCGGCGGGGCGCGGCGCGTCGGCCAAGGGGAACCGTCGAGCCGGAAGCAATTGGTCGTCGAGTGACAAAACGGCGCGTCAATGGTTCGCGCGGATTCGACGGAACGCGCCGGAAAATCTGGCCGGCCCGATCCGGCCCGAAGCCGCGCGTCCCGATCCGAGCCGTGTGTCCCGACTCGATTCGTCTGGGCCGCGTATTCTCGGACAAAGAACTCCGGGAGAAAATAGCGCGCAACTGCGCCGCCCGGCAGAAAATGGAGCGTCGCGCGTCCCGTCGTGTCCCGTCGCGTCCCGTCGCCTCCCGTCGCCGTCGGGACGCATTCCGGCGACGTCTACTCACCAGCCAGCCGGTCGCTAAACGTGTTACTCTTCCCCCTCCTCCCCCCTAATCTCTACTTTCGACTACGTTTCAGATCCCGTACTACCGTTTGCTACTCGCTACACTTCTTCCCTCCTCTTGCCACACTTCCCCTCCTCTCTTTACCCGACCATCTGTCTTGTCATCTTACTTTGTACGCTCTTCCTTCTCATCACGCCCACACTCCTCCCTTTTTCTGCTCGTTTACTTTTGTTGCTCTCTGCGTGTACTCGCTTCTCGCTGTTCCTACTGGAATATTCCACCAACCGGTTAGCTGTTCTTAACGAGGATACGCCTGGCAACGGAAACATGTTGCTATTTCTTTGCGACGGGTGCATTCGTCATAACAGAAAATGTTATTTCTTCGTGACGCGAGTATACTCGCGACGTAGCAAAATTGTTGACAGTTTTCTCGCGACGAGTATACATGTCGTAAACAGCCAGCTGGTTCATTAGCTGGCTCGAAATGGATCGTGAAGACGTTGCGAGAATTTCAGGATATTGTCGCAATTATTTTCAACGTATTGCTGTCATTGAAAGAGGAGATAATACTGAAAACTATTGAAATTGAAACTAAAAACTGAAATTCAAATAAATAACCACTGTTTTGATTTTTCGTGAGAATAATAAAGGATAATGAGAATAATAATAAAAATAAGAAGAAGTAGAAGAAGAATAAAAGTAGTAAGAATAATAAGAACAATAAGAACAATAAGAATAATAAGAATAATAGAAATAATAAGAATAATAAAAACAATAAGAATAATAAAAATAATAAGAATAGCAAGAATAATAAGAACGATAAGAACAATAATAAAAGTAACAAGAATATAATAAGAATAATAATAAAAATAATAAACGTCAGCGGGATAAAGCCTTTGTTACTATGAAAGTAATAACATAATATAATAATATAATAATATAATAAAGTAATAAAATAATGTAATATAAAATAGATAAACATAAAACTGAAAATGAACTCGAGAGTGAAAAGAATTTTGCAAAGATCGCTAAAAGTGTAACAGTCCGGATCATTCCCTGACCTTTCAGAGCCCCAAAAAAATCGAAATATCCGAACCCCATCTATCGCCGAACCTGCAGGAGCCTATTTATAGTCCATTAGGATTTACAATCTCTCTCTCTCCTCTCTCTTTCTCTGCTCCGTTATCTCGAAGCATAGCTAGAGCAACCCTTATTTGCGCAGCGGAGCACAAGATTCGTGACTTTCAACAGTGGTTACTGTTGAGTGTTCCCAAAGCCGCGTCCTTTTGGGAACAGTGTCCTAACGTGTCGCCGGTATCGCTGCTTTATCAGGAATCGAATAGGACGCTGCTGATAATGACGGGCCGACAGTTCGCGCAGTGTTCTGTTTACTGCAGAACGACATTGTTAGGCGACGATCTCCTCGGACAAATGGAAGCGGATCATTGTGCGCTCGTGTATGGGCACTTACCGCTTTTAGCAAGTAAATGGTAAACAATATGAGTTCATGTTGCAGAACGATGTATCTCGGCGAATGTTATTTCGGAGGGAGTGTAATTCATTTAGCGAGTAAAACATTTTACTTTTATGCGAGACAATGGTCCGTAGCATACTGCTAAAATATATTAAAATTATCTGCAGCAAGTAGAATAGACTTATGCTGTAAGAATAATAGAACGACCGATCTTCAGATTTGAATCTCATAGAGATACTGTTCAGATCATTTAGGGTCTACTATTTGAGCAGCGAAGTTTGGAAAAATTATAAAAATTTTTTTATAACATTATTACAAGCCGAGTGAAAGAATATTTATGGAATGCCAAAGATTAGTAAAAAAAAGTTTTACACCGACGAAAATTTGTTACTCGTTTGTTACATTACACATTGAATATTATTATTATTGTAGTATTATCGTAGTAATTGTTTTTATATATTAAATTCTAATTGTTGTCGTCGGTGAAATATCAAATACGTTACTGGTAAAATATATTCCCTGATGTAGTATAAAAAGTATAATATAATAAATATATTTTGCCCAATATAGTATGAAAAATATAGTATAATAAATATATTCCCTAATATATACACAAAAATCATAATAATATTCATCGACGATTTCACGACTTTTCTTTTTAGATAACTACGTCAATTAAGCAGGTGTCCACGTTTTTATGGGGGCGAGGGGTATACACATTTGTAAGCTGGCGAAGTTCTTGCGAACTTAATCTCGTTTGCGCGGTGCAAACGATCTTTTCGCACAAATTTTTCCTCGAACAAACTTCTTTCGCGGATCCTGCTAACGTTTCATTAAACCATTCCATAAATTTCTAGCTGGTCCTGCAACCGTTTTTCCTACCAACTTCGTAGAACTCACGAGAATCGCAGATTCTACCATTCGCGGTCGGAAAAGTTCACCGCCGCTTCGCTGGTCACACAATTGTCCGATAAGCCCTGTAATTTTTGTCCAGATCCTGCAATCGATCGGCGTAACGCAACAATACTTTAGCTGATCCTATAATTGATTCATCGAGCTCTATAATTTTCAAAGCCGATCGTACAATTGCAGCATCGATCCCTATAATCTTTTTTCGCGGATCCTTTATTTCGTAAATTCAACTGTTTCCCAGATTCTCTGCACGCGTTGCGAATTATTTTTCCACAGAATCTACAATCGATCCGTTCGACCCTATAATTTTTGCACGGATCCTGCAATCGCCCGACGAGTCCCGTGATTTTTCACCCGATCCTGCAATTATTTTATTAACGGCCACACGGTTTGTTCGCGCGCACCGCAATTGCTTTTCGACGAGTCTGTTTTAGTATAATCATCGCGAAATCGAATGTCCGTTCGCGGAGACGAGTCACCAGAGACATAAACGTGCCAGAGACCAGGGACATGCCGGTGTCACGATAAGAACTCAGTTAACGTACCAACAACAATTTTTTTCTGCGAGATTTTCGGATTGATAATACGATGAATTCTCTCCAATTTTTCCCTCGACTTGGAAACAGAAACGAACAATTTCGGAAGAGAAGATACGATTGTTCGTGGCTCGCGGCGCGTTTTTGTAGTCGTTGACAATCGGTGGCTATAAAAAACAAGCCGCGAGACTCGACATTTTAGACTCGACACCATTTTTGTTTACAAGCTGAGGGACAATTTGGGAGAATTTATTGTATTCGTCTCACAGATTTCGTTGTGTTTCTCGTATTCGCTATAATGCCATAGAATTATTCTTTGCAAATACGCGTGTGAATAACAACAGACAAGAAAGTTGATTAAAATTTTGTATTCGACATTTGATTCATAGCTTGATATTAAATTTATAATTATTCATTCAATGATTCCAGACACCCGGTACAATAATTTCTCCCGGAAATGCCAAATTTCGGGTCGCTGTGAATTTCCCTGTGCTAGTCCCACGCCTATGTAATTTATTGCTACGGCTCGTTTTTATAGCTTCAATTATTTCTCCCGGAAATGCCAAATTTCGGGTCGCTGTGAATTTCCCTGTGCTAGTCCCACGCCTATGTAATTTATTGCTACGGCTCGTTTTTATAGCTTCAATTATTTCTCCCGGAAATGCCAAATTTCGGGTTGCTATGAATTTCCCTGTGCTAGTCCCACGCTTATGTAATTTAATAAAACCCTATTTAACTCTATTTAATAGTGTCAACCGTCGAATCGTGGCACGTGACCTCCGAATTGCCTTCGAATCGCGTCACGTGGCCTCCGAATTGCCTTCGAATCGTGTCACGTGGCCTCTGAATTGACCTCTGAATATCTACAATAAATTAACGCAAACAGCCATGATAAAGAAATTAATATATAATAGAAATGCAGACTTGGGGGTGGGAGGAGGGGGGCTAGGACAAAGCGTTTCACAAAATGCCACGGGGAACAATAAATCACATCCCTGAATTCGATCATCGACTATCGAGTGTTCAAGGTAAAAGTACACAATATGAAACAGTATGTGTTCTTGCTTCGATTCGTATTCGAGCAAATGCTTCTTTTATTGTTACAGCCGATCGTAACGCCACGGTATTCGCGTGGGTGGATTTCTAAAAGAACAACGTTCGGAAATACAGCCATAATTTGTACATGTCCCCTTCCACGTGCTCCATCTATTTTTCATCGTACCATTTGCGCTGCTGTTCCAAGCTAGGGGATCGCAGTCGAGCGGTGTTTCATAATAGGTACCTTTACCCGAAACATTCCCTTCTACAGCTGATCGTAACGTAAAACAGTGCCTTGCGAATCTACAAAGAACAACGTTCAAAAATATGGATACAGAATTTTCGCGTATCCATTTTCGCGTATGCTCTATCTATCTATTTCTTTTCTTATCGTATCATCCGTGCTGCCGTTTCGAGGAAGGGGTGGTGATCGAGCGACGTTTCATAATAGGTACTCTTACCTTTTCTGTTTCTGCCATTTGCTGTGTCAACAAAAAAAAAAAAAAAGAAGAAGAAGAAGAAACATCTAGTGACGCGATTATCGGCGAACGGATTCGTTAGAACTGTCTCGCATGTTCCTCCGTTGACCGTAATTGCTCTCATGCCGGACTCACCCCGATCACGTGCTCCCCTTTGCCGGCCTTGGCGATCAGCTCCCACTCGATCGTCTTGACGTAGCATAGCGCCGGGTTCGCCTCGAACCGCACCGATCCCCTGATGATCGTGGTCAGACTGTGCAGCCCGATCTCCTGCAGGCTCATCATCTCGAACGCTACCAGGGCGTAGTTGATGAAGAGGGAATGGCCGCGGATCACCGTCAGGTTCGGGAACAGCCGGCCGATGCTGCGCAACCCCTTGACCCTGCGCAACAAACGAGAACCGGGAAGAATGAAGCCGAGTGTGAATGGGAAATCCGGCCGGCCGGCCGGACCGTGTGCTTTACGACGTTACAGAAGAACGAGACGCGCCGGAAAAGAAGCCGGAAGGCCGCGAGGAGAACAGAACCGGAGCAAAGAAGGAAGGAAGGAAGGAAACAAAGAACTAATCCGCGAGATAATAGCGCCGGAGCCGGACAGGATGTTTCGTGACCCTCGACGCGGGAATTCCATCGGGAACTAGCGTAAAAACGTTCCTCCGTGCAGGGTAGAGGAGCCAGCTACTGTGCCCTGTTAGGCAGCCTTCAGGGCGCGTGTTCGCTGCTAAACGCGACTTTTAACGATCTAAATGACGTTTCTCGAGGACTTGGAAGATTCGTCCGTCTTTAACGCGTTCAATTTTGATAATTGAGCCGTTTATTTTGAAAGTGGCATAAGTCACTTTACCGTAATGAAAAGTGGTGATTTTTTAATGTTTATACGAAATTATTTATACTGAGAAAAATATCGGTATCCTGACATAACAAATACAAGTGAATCTTCTCGAAAGTTAGCATCCATATTTTTAAACGTGTTACTTTAAAAAAAGGGCTCAATCGAATAATAATTAATGGATAATAATGATTATATTATAATAACAATAGTTAATGGCAATAATTAGTGGAACTCGAATAAAAGTATTTGACACGTCGTTTCGATGAATGTACAGTTAATTAGGCTTGAATATAAAGGAGAGGCACGGTGGTTGGCTACCCCACAGTAACTGGCTCCGTTGCTACAGTTGGTTCTAATTGATTTAATTTACATGAATTTTTAGTATCGGGTTGCGGGAAAGTAATTGCGTTTTTCAACAAAATTTCGTTTTGCGAGGATGTTAAAACAGCGGCTGATTCGGTATTTTGGCAATAAAAAGTTGCGCTTCTGCTAGCATAAGATTTCGAGGCTACCGTAAAGATGTTTGACAAAATCATAGAACGGTGTATCGTTAAATAATCTATTACTATATTTAGTAATACTAATAATACATTCGTATTGTTGCTAATAATATTTTAGCGCAACTGATAATATATTCGAATCATTGCTAATAGTATTTTAGTGTAACTAATAATATAATAATTATATTTAAGTATACTTAAAATAATTTGAACACTAGAAAATCGTCCTTTATTTTCTCGTGAAAGAACGAAATTACTTTTTAAGCAAACCAATAGTAAGACTTTGGTCGCTGTGATTTTAAGGCAATTTCTTGGAGCTTCTTCGAGGGAAGCTGTCGATGGATTACGATGTTATGTAATAAATGGAAAAAGGTCGTACGTAGGCTGCGAATTTTATGCGGATTTTAAATATATTTATATATATATCTTATTCTACATTTTATTTTTTCAGATTGTAAAAATCCGATGTAAAACATGGAAACCATTTAGAGAATTTACAACTGTTATCGCATTGTTTCCAACTCATTCGTTTAGAGATAGGGAAGAGGAGATATTTTTCATAGTTGTCGACAATCGGTAACTATAAAAACGAGCCGCAGGCCTCGAATAATCATATCTCCCCTTCCCAAAGTTCTGCATTGTTGCGTACAATTTGAGCATCGATTAGATAGAAATTCGCTGTAGACCGCGAAACCAGTAAAAACGACCGACACTCGATTCTCTCCTTCGCGGTTCCTAACATCGCGAAGACATCTCTGTGAGAATTGTTTTTAAAAAAACTTCGCGCATACTACAACAAAAACAATCGTGTAAATCTCGAACGAATCCAAATAAATCTTGTCGTCGTCGTCGTCGTCGTAAAACAATATGCACTTCGGGTGATATCGGTTCCAATATCGTCACTTTTTGTGCCGCTCAAAAGATCGCGGTCGAGTCACGCGTATGTAATCACGGCCAATGCATATTCGAATAAAGAAATCGGACGACGTAGAAAGAAGCTTTGTATTAGCTTGAAAGGAGCCGACACGGAGTTTCTGGCCAAGCCGACACAATACAATGTAAGGTTCGTTAATGGACGTGAGTGGCGATATCGCATCGGCCGGGAATAAAAAAGAAGGAAGGAACGAGCGAGCGAACGAACGAACGAACGAACGAACGAACGGTGGTACAAGGTGGGGCAGAGGAGGAAAGAAATAAAGAAGAGGAACCGGCGAGAGAGATAATAACGACAAGAGAGCTAGCCAGGAAGTTTAGTGACCCTTGACGCGAAGAGGAAGTCGACGATCCTCTCGGCTCGTTTCCACCTCCGACGGAGGCGGCCTTGCCGGACTCTCCGGCGGCATTCCGTGTGCATAGATCGTTTATCATCGGAGCAACTCCGACGGAGAGAGATTTTTGTGCGGCCGCGGATCTCTTGCTCGTTCCGCTCGCGAGCGAGTAAACTATCGACGCGTACACGCGTATAGGAGCCGATCGCTGCTGCCGGTTATGCGTTCGAGAGCAGCCGCTTCGATCGCGCGCGCGCGCCGCGGAGCAGGAATTTCGGAAAGACGAAGAAGAATAATCGTCGTCACTTCGGAAACGGACAAGATAGATTGGACATGCGTTGCTAGCGGGGCTCCTGCGATCAACCATAGACGACGACCCGTGTCGCGCGAGTTCCGTGTCCGAGCAGCGACCTCGAGACGCGCATCGCCGAGGGATGCATTAAGACGCAGCCTGGAAGATGCGCGGCGGCGGCGGCTGGCTTCGGTTGTCGCGAATTAATTCCTATTTGGCACGATGCCCCGTCGCCGAAGTTTCCGGCGATTTCCGAGGATTAATGCCGGGCCCCTCGTAAAACGGTCGTAACGCGGTCGTTGAACGTTTTTACTCGGCCAACCGATCCGTCGCGCGTGAAATATCATTTCTGTCGCGCGTCGCGTTTGCCGAAGATTCGACGGCCTCGATTTCCCGGGAACACACTCGACATCGAGTGCCATCGCATAATATCGGCGCCTCGAATTTCCGAATGCCAGTCTCTTCCTCTCTCGGGCAATTTTGATAATAATAATAATAATAATAATAATAATAATAATAATCATCATCATCATCATTTTATTCATATTTACTTGCACAGTCCTCCGTTACAAAGAAATGGAATTAAAAAAAGCTTTCAGCCGTTACACCGTTACAGTAAAAATACAGGGAAAATTCTGTCCGGTTTTTATGAAAAATGCTCGTTTTTTCTTTTTTATCTCCAAACGTTCAGCGCTCGAATCGATTTTGTTTCTCGAATTCTTTATGCCTTTTTACATTTATTAGTACCGTTCATTAGTACACCGTTTCTATACATATATTCATTCAGCTTAAAAATGTCGAACGATAAAGAGCGGTGCACGATCATTTATGTATCGTTATTTATTCATTTCATTTATTAACCGGGCATGCTGCCCTTCCGTGCACGCGTATCAACAGCCGAGCGCACGGCAATCGTGAATAATTTTCGAAAAGTGCCTCGGATATGCGTTCGAGCGGAGGGAGCAAATTTTCTGCACTCGATATAAAATTTATTTGTTCAGTTTCGCGATTAATATGTTCGTTAAACTGGCGAAATGTGCGGAACATCGAATCGCCGGTGTTCTTGTTCGCGAAGCAGCTAAATATAGAGATGCACAGTTTATAATGAGAATAAATGATAATTTGTGTGCTTATCTCTTCGAAGCAGTTAAATATAAATATACAGATGTAGTTTACGATGAAAATGAAGAATAATTTAGAATGAAATTTAGAATACAAATCTATCCGTAACACGCACTTAACACATTTCTGATTAACCCCTTGCACTCGAGCGGTGACTCTGAGGCGCCATTAAAATTGTTATATCGCGTTCCAAGATCATTTTTCAAGCTAAATATAAATATACAGATGTAGTTTACGATGAAAATGAACAATAATTTAGAATGAAATTTAGAATACAAATCTATCCGTAACACGCACTTAACACATTTCTAATTAACCCTTTACACTCGAGCGGCGACTCTGTGGCGCCATTAAAATTGTTATATCACGTTCCAAGATCATTTTTATACTATAAAAATCTAGGCGTAAAAGAAAATTGTTAAAAGTCTAACTGTTGTACGAGTCGCAAGACTATAAATTTCGTATGGATAAAAATGCACTTTGCCATATAAAACGGAAATACCATATAAGTCAGAGAAATTAATTTAAACTTAAAATGGCTTCGAGTGCAAAGGGTTAAAATTCTATTCGATTGTAGTTCTTATTGAACGACGATTTCGCTGTTAAAGCAACAAAAATCTGTTCAAATCTTCGAACAGCTAACACATTTTTAATCACAATTAATCAGCGTTCTGTATGTTTTGCTATTTGATTCGCTATTGTACCGAGAACGATATGAACTTTGCAGCTGATTCTAAGCGAAGATTAACATTCGAATTAACATTTGATATAGGGAAATACAAAAAAAAAGGTTACCTGTAAAACAGCAGATATCCGGTGATCTCCCTCAGCTCCGGGAAAGAGATGTTGGCAAACTCCGACGTCTTGGCGTTGTCGATCAGTACGATTTGTACGAATCCTTCGACTAGTCGGCACCCCTTCAGTTTCGAGAACTGATTCACGGAGTTTCTTATGTCTATGCTTTGGCACACTGCGACAGAAAATTACGGCGTTACTCCAGTTGCTGTTCCGCGTTATCCAACCGCTGCATTGGCTGTAAAGATTTTTATGCGATGCTTCCGTCTCGCCGACGGTTTCGGCGAACGAGACTCGCATAACGATCCGTACGCAGCCCAGTTAGAAAAGCATAGATACGTAATTTGTCTCGGACTCTGCGTCGCGGATTCGACCAGAATTTAATGGAACGCGAAATTATGCGTTAATAGAAGTTTGGCAGTTATTCGACAATTATTTGGCAATTATTTGGCAATTATTTGGCAATTGTTTGGCAATTATTTAATAAGTTAATAATATAAGAATTATTTCCTCCAACCCCTTTGCCAGTTGAAATTATAAAAATTGTTAATATCGAAGATGTATTAGAGGCGACAAATGATTTGTATTTGTCAATCAACCATAAAATATAAATCTCAACCATAAATCAATTGATATACGTATACAGCTTGTTGTAATACAAATACAAGGGACTAAACTCGATCAATATAACTTTAGAATGAATATTTTCGATATTCCAAAAATAATTGAACGAGGATAGACAATATTTTTTAGATAAATTTAAGAATTCGTTCGAGATACAATTATTTACAATAATTATACATACATTAATAATTATATTATATTATTATTATTTATTATATATTATTATATATTATTATATATTATTATTATATTATTATATTATTATTAATACGCGAAGAGAGGAGTCAATAGGATCGATTTAACATTAAAAAGAGGCGAGACTGAAGAAGATCGATTTAATGATGATCGTCTCGACTGCAGAAAGCAAGTGATCGCGATCCGAGTGGAGGACGCTGCGACGGAATTCGGTGTCACGTAATTGGCGAAACGACGAATCGATCGAACGATCTCGATTAAATCGATTACGGATCGATTACAGTCGATTACCAATTATCGGTCGACGGGGAAACGAAACTGGCTATCCGTCGGCAAGGTCGGGCAACCTTGTCTCAGGCTGACTAGATCTTTGATATCCGTCGCCCCTCCCCCCTTCCGCCGAAACCGGACAAACTCGATCGGCCAACTTCTACGTATTCGTATAGCCGGACAACTGATCCAATGGACGGGGGACGCGAGTCCGACGAAGACGTTCGTCGCGGCGACGGCGACGACGACGACGGCACTGGTTCCGAAGGGGCCGCACGTTGCACGATAACGAGAAGAAAATATTGACCGTTTAGCGGGTCGGGGCTCGATTAAAGCTACTCCGAGATAGACTCGGCTGTTTTTATCCCTGTTTGTTTGCTTGCTAAATTATGCCGACCCAACGTCGTCGTCCGACTAGAAGACATTCCACTAATCTTCGCGCGATTCTGCCGTCGCAAAAACTTGCGCAAACTCGTGAGACATGGACTTCGGGGTGGCCCAGGTGGTGCCGACCCTGCTTGGCCTTTAGGTTCGAACGTTTGCATTCGAATGACGAGGGTCGAAGGGCCGTCAAATATTAATTATTGATAAAATAATTATTATATAAATATTTATGAATTATATAATTTATTTAATTTATTATATAGATATTTTTATAAATTATATAACTATTAAAAAATAGTAACTATATTATAATATACTATATAAATATATAATATATATAATATAATATACTATAATATATATATATAATATAATATAATATACTATAATATATATATATATAATATAATATACTATAATATATGTATAATAGTAACTATACTATAGTACTATTAAAAAATAGTACTATAAATTATATAAATATTTATAAATTATATAATTCGTTTAATTTATCGTATATTTATAAATTATACAATGCATTTAATTTAATATACAAATTATATAAATAACTATTATTATTATTAATTACTATTACTAACACTAATAATTGAATCAAATATTAGAAGCATCAAATATTAGCATTCCTTATCGGACCGTTTATTTTTGTAACATCATGATACCAGAATGTTGTATTATCTAAGACTGCCGTTCAAGTTGTTCACTAGATGATAATGTCGTTAAATAATACACTGCTTAAGATAACAGAACAATAGTTTAGATAGCTGAGTGTTGTAAAAATAAACGTTCGGATAACGGAGTCTCTACTGTATTTGAATTGTTAAATTGTACTCGATACATACGTCGCTACGAGGCACGCCACTCGACTGCGTGCGATCGTTCAACCGTTGCAGTTTATAAAATTCTCCGATCGAAACGGAGTACAGTGAATTCTCCCCGATTGACCCTCAGCGTGGAAACAAAAGTGAACAATTTGGGAAGAGAAGACACGATTATTCTCGCAACGCGACAACACCGAATAACTCGTAAAATATTCGTCGTACGAGAAAATGTTTCGAACGAAAGTTGCATGGTTCGCAACGGACCGTGTAATTCTGCAATCGATTTTACGTTGTTTTGCTTCGTTATCGCGGTATGAAGGTCACCTTGAACTTTTTCAACGGAACGGTTTACACTTCTCCCCGGATTCGGACGAAGCATCGAATTCTACGTAAAAAAGTATTACACGAAACAGGGTCTAAGACAAACGGTTACCGAGATATTAGCAAAAATAGATCGTGTTGTATTAGAAAAAGAACGCGCGATTTCGGCCGAGACACGTATTGTTCGCCGTGTTCGCGATCCAAGTGAAACACGGCAGCCAAATAAATTCGCTGGGGGACGAGCGAGTTCGCCGAGGTTGCGCGGCTGTGATGTTAGCAGGGTCAGACACGACGTCAAACGTCGACGTCGGACAGGGCTCGGCGGTGCCGTTTCAGCGACGTTTCCCGCAGGTTATCTAGACCCGAGGTCGGGGCAGAGACGAGCGATGGCCACTTTAAAAGTCAAGTGCACCGAAGACGCCCGTTTTCCTTGAATATCTTTCGCCGCGAAAACCGAATCGGACGGCCGCCACCACCGGCGCGGCTCGGCGACGCGTCACCGACGCCTACATGGACGCCCACTTGGCCTGTTCGTCACCGGCTGATTTTTTGCGACGCGCGTCCACCGATCATCCGGTCGCGAGGCGACGAACCGCGTGCTCTCTCCCGGGCACCGAAACTTTGTGGGCAGATGCGCGCCGAGGACCCTCCGAGCCGCGCGTCGAAGTACCGTTCTCGACGAAACGATAACATATAACCTTCATCAAGTTGCTTTTAACTTAATCGTCGGGTACGTGTCCGGCCTGCAGTCGATCAATCTTTCGGGATACATACGCCGGATCGGGTTGTCGGGATGCTCCGAGATGCCACCTGAATCTACTTGTCAAATAAAATCGGCTCTTGCGATGACAGTGTCCACAATTGTAAAACGACATTACGTAACACGGCCGAGGGCCGCGTTGTAACCTTGTAATCTCACTTGTACGACACACGTCTGCACGTACGTTCTACATTCGTTTGAGTTTCTTCGTGCTTTGTGTGTTACATTGAGCTTGGACCTGTTGTTACAACGCACTATTCGCGGGAGAGGTATTAATTATTAATTACTATTATAATGGTATTATAATGTAATATAAATATATAATATAATATAATGTAATACAATTTAAAATGTAATGTAATGTAATATAATGTAATGTAATGTAATGTAATGTAATGTAAT